TTTTTGGATTTTGGTGGAAATTTGGGGGAAAAAAAAAACCCCAGGATTTGGAAAAAAAAGGCGGGATTTGGGTAAAGAGGGCGGGATTTAAGGAAAAAAAAAATGGGAATTTGGGAAGAGGAAGGAGGGGGAAGCGCAGGAATCCCTCAGGAATCCCTCAGGAATTGCGGAGCTTTTCCCGGAATTCCGCCGGAAAATAACCTGGTTTAAAAAAAAAATTAAAAAAATTCCCAAAATCCTAAATTTGCCGTTCTTAAATCCCGATCCTGATCTCAAATTTCCCGGTCTTAAATCCCGATCTTGATCCGAAATTGAAAATAAATCCAAGAAACTCAAAATGGCGGCAACGCCCCCGCCGCCATCTTGAGGGGCGGCGGGGCCGTCAATCAAAATGGCGGCACCCACGCATCCACTTCCGGTGACGTTTCTCTCCGCTTTTCAAACCCAACGGGGCCCGAGCGGAGCGCGGCGGTTTTGCCGTCACCGATTTCACAATGGGGAACGATTTGAGCTCCCGGTAACCGGCTGGGTGGCGGAGACGCTGAGGGGGGTGAGGTCTGGGAGCCGCCATGTTGTACGGCAGGAGGAAGTTGAGGGAACTTCCGCTTCCGGTGTGGAGCGGAGGGAGGTGAGGGTGAACCCAAGCGTGGAATGAGGAGAAGGGGGATTGAGGGACGTGTGGGAATGTTCACGTAGCTATGGGAGGACTCGAGGGTCCTTCCCCCCCTCTCCGATTTTGAGTGGTTCCTTCCAATCTTCCCGCGGCTTCACCGCCCGCCTCCGCCATCTTGAGGCGCGGCTGCCCCGTTCAACAAGATGCCGGCACTCAGCCACCACCCCCGGTGCTATTTTGAAACAAATTTCCGAACAAAACGCAGAAAAAAAACGCAACACGGCGGATTCGCACTCACCATTTATCCCCCCTCCATCCATTTAAACCCGCAGGGAAACGAGAGAACGGCGGAAAGGAGACGTTTTAAAAGGAGAGATGGGCGCCGCCATCTTGTACGGCAAGAAGCAGCTGAGGGGAACTTCCGCTTCCGGTGGGGGGAGCGGCCCCTCAGCGGTGGCGGAGCGGGGGGTA